GGCTATATAGGCTTGCCTCTCGTGCTGCAAATTCTTCTGGTATTTTTTCATGTTCTTTCTCCAGTCTGGTGAAGATCAAGTTCCATCTATTTTTTTAGATAGTATTTGTCCTTTGGGGATTGCTTTGTCACCACCGACCTCCCGTCTCTGCCCCTCCCGGCAGCACTAATGGCCATTAGCGTTAATTATTTAAAGTTCCTTGTTTTGCACACAGAAAATAGCAATCAATGTGCAATGCTGGGTATATGGTTGTGTTACCCCCCTGACTCCAGTACTTTATCCCTCATCTTTCGAAGTGTCTGTTTTCTTTGATATAGTCTTTGGTTTTTATTCAGCATGGTGTGAGCAGCACTATTTAGAAAGCTTGTGGGTTTTTTGTTTTTTGTTTTTTGTTCTTTTTTCCAGGCAAGGACATTTTCTCTTTAAATGTTAACCTTGTGACACTGTCTGAAATGTTTCTTTTCTTGTGTTTTTATTCATCTCCTGCTAATTTTCAACCGTTTTGCGTTCTGGGCTGCGAAAGACATAATGGCAAAACCGACCGGGTGACCTTTTCACTTAGGCTCACCTGTGGCTTTTTTTTTGCTGTTGGATATGGAGGGTCCACAAGGTGTCAAGATTGGAAGTGTTAAGCAGTCATGAGAATTGAAGATCTAGACACGGTTATTCTTTTGCTCCATGTGCAAAAATACCCCAAAACTGAAAAACATTGAGCAGTAGCCACAGACATTGTAAGCAATAAATAAGATGAGAGTCTGGCTATTAGACTGGCTCTTAGCAATTTCAAGCACCTTTGTCCTATGGGTGGATTGTGCAAACTGGTACTGAATTGTTCCAACTTCAGTTGAAATCCCATTGAAATATATGCTTTGGGGTTTTTTTGTGGTGGAGGGAGAAGTGTTGATGCCAACTGGCCTTCACATAACCGAGCTCTTCGAAGGGGTTGACTGGATGACTCCTGTGGTGCCTAGAGATGGGTTTTCCTTAAGATTCAACTTTTAATCATTTAGATCCACTCTTTCTAAAATGCGGGGCTGTGGAACAGGGCATGATGTGTCTGGTGTCCATCTAGGTAATTTTTGAGCATTTGTGGCCTTCTGAGCTCTAACCAGAATCAGGTCCAGGCTATGAGATGGATTTGTAGTCACATGTTGCATTCCGTATATGCTCAGTAAAACAAAATTTGCCATGTGTTGTGGTCTTCCCATGTTACTTTGGTTGCATAAAGATAAGAGGTTTGAGAAAATGTTCCTGTAAAAATTGAGGACCACTGCATGTTAGAAACAGCAACACTTGGGGTCACGGTTTTGTCCCATGGGTTCTTCCATGAACTTGTCATAGGTAGGGTTAGGGAACTTACAGCTTCCTCGCTCCAAAAGTTTTATACACAAGATTGCAAAATTAACACATGCCAAATAGTATGATGTAAACTGGATTGTGGCCTTACTTCGTGGACCACATCATTCACAACATAGTACAGTGTCACGCAACAGAAATACTGCTCCTGATGGGTAATGGCGTTAAGAGTGCTGAAGTCATGGTACAAAACTTGCTTAATGATTTGCATTTTTTCCCCTATGTTACAGAATGTAGTTGAGCAGATGGATGCAGCCAGCTGTAGATAGAGCTTTAGGGAGTACTGGGGAGAAAAGAGAGAGGGTTTTGTTAAGATAAATGTAATAATCTCTGTGATAATTAGTTTAATTTAGATCTCTGCATCTGACTCATTTTTGACTAACCTTGTATGAAGCCTTTCTTGCCTTGCTGACGAGTCTGTGAATTTAGTTTGATTATAATCCCTTTTTTTGTGCTTGTGGATTGCTCACTGATCACTGATATTTTTCATTAAGCAGTTGCTTTATTACATTGTTATTTAGAGGGGAGTAATTTGTGTTTTCTAATTAATTTAATTCCAGGCACATTTAGTAAGTAGCTACAATGAGCCCATTCAAGGGGTTTTAGGTCATATTGACATTGTTTACCAGATGTGCTCGTTTGTTTTAAAACATTGTTAACTCTGTGATGACAACAGCCTCGTTCGGTTGCTTGTCTCTTCCACCTTCCCTAATCTGCCCCTCCAAAACGCCCCAAAATTAGAAGATGCATTTCAAGTACTAGTGAGAGTTGTCCATAGGCTTTAAATCACAGAGGAATTATATTGCAAACAGTGTCGATGTAAACTATTACTATTCCATTATCAGATTTGAGGGTAGAGCAGCAGAGAAGCCTTTTGGCTTCTTTTAGCCAGGGGTGTGAGTGCCGTTACTCTGACCGCCTAAAAACTGGATAATGCCAAAGAGATGCAAACTGGGTGTTAAGTCCATGCTTGGCCCATTTAGCTCTGAAAAACTTGCAGTGAGGCTTCAGGAGAGAATGGGGCAGCCAGGAGGATGAGCATACCAAGGAAGGCATGGCCTGGGCAGTGACGGGATGTGTTAATGTAATCAAAAGGCAAATGTTGTAGTTCGTAGTTGTCACCATCCCACATTCATAGACTTGGGCAATTGTTTTTGCCAGAAGCTCTTTGGAAAATCTCGGTATTCTCTTGCTAATGGTGCTCCCAGGATCTGGGGGTTATTTGAGCACTTTGTGTTCATCACTGTTAAATACTATATCCATTCCATCATCTGAGCATGAAAACTACATGTTATACCTATCATTTGCTCATTTAGTCTGCTGCATCAAGAAATGGTGTTTTAAAATGAGACCCTAATTAGATGAATAAATAACATTTTTACAGGAAACTGTCCAGGCAGGTTATTCCCCTGGCTATAAGCTTGTCCCATGAAAAACTACCAACATCTGTTAACGTGTTCTGCAGTCACTTATTTTGGTAAAAAGTCAATTACTGCTTGTTCTGCGGCAGAGTCTGGCACAGAGCAATGAGACTGTAAGATTCATTGGCCTCTGAAAGACCCACCAAACAATGGCCTTGATGTGTTTTCCATTATTTTTCAACCGTTTTCCATCTTTATTTGGATTGGAACAGCCAAAATTAACGACCAACTTTGAAGGAAAAATTTGTTCAGTCGTTCATACGTAGTAAATTTTAACATTTAATGCTTATGATGTAATGAACTGATTTCTGGTACAATTTGAACCAGTAGACCAGGTGTATCTCCGCTTTATTTTTTGTGAAGAACATTTAAATTACTGTAATACCTTTTCTGGCTCATGTTTGGTCTGTTAAGGATGCGTGCGTGCATGGGGATCTGTTCTACCTATTGATTTAATAGGAAAGAGCATCTCTCGGAAAGGGAGAGTAAACGTGTGTGCATGCATGTGGAAGGGGAGAGAGAGAAAGAGGGAGAATCTCTGTGTGTTTATCTCTGTGATAAATGATGCCTGTTAAAAATGTGACTTGCCATGAACATTATTAGTGCTTTCCTCTTTAAGTGTATTATACAAACACAGTCACCGTCAGCAGAAATGAAGCTGCGGTCTTGACTGTTTAGTTCAAACAGTTTTGATGTTTCCTTGTCCCTTGATCAATCAATGCCTGGAGGGGCATCAGCTATTGGCCGGGAATGCATCAGAGTGACATGCAGAGCACAGATATTCCTCAAAAGCTGAAAATATTTCATTTAAAATACTCATTACAGTTTGCATCCCAGTCTGTGAACACGCAGCAAAGTGAGCTCCGTTTATCATTTTTAATTGTGGATCTTCCCCATTCAGAACTAACATCTCCCAAATTACCTTAAAATGAGCTTCTTCCTAGGCAGATTTGTAATTCACTTTCATCACTTATTTTATTCTCTGTGTAAAAGTTACACGAGGGCATGGGTTTTAGCACAAACAAAATGCGTAAAGTAGGAAACATAATGCGGCATAAATGCCACATAAATCACGTCCTAAAGACAAAGCAGATTTCAAACATCTGAATTACTGAGCACTTAATGTAGAGTGTAATCTGTGTTTTGGTTTATGTTTGTTTTCTGGAGTGTCACACAGAGCAAAATACGGGGAGTTCCCTCTCCTCCAACAGTGGAGGAAAAGGAAGGTGGTTTGCAAAACACCAAAGAGCTTTTCCTGTGTGTAGGTAAATCCCCCAGAGAAGTGTCGCCTTTGCTGCTGGGAATTGGGCTATATGCAGAAGTAGTCGATAGAAATCCCACTTGAGTTCTCTTGCTCATCACAGAGCAAGTAAGAGGCTGCTCCAAAATGCAAAACTGTCCTTGAAAAAACCTTCTCCGGTGCCCCCCCAGTTGTTTTTTCCTTTGCATCAACTGCAACCTGTGTAAGCCCCCCCTTTGCCAGGCTCCCTAGCATCCCCCCTAAGGGTCAGGACACTTGCAGCGCTGTTTTCAAGCCTCAGCTTTCTGAAATTGTAACTAACAAATAAAAATCTCTGGCTTCAAAGATCTGCTCTTAGGATGGACAGGAAGGAAAACGCATGTTTTCTCAGTAACGTTCACATTTTTAGGGATAAAAGCTTATTCCTCCTCATGCTTTTGTTTTCCTTTGCCTAGCCCTTGCCTCCCAGCTCAAGCCAATGCACGTTTTCCTTTCAAAAATGGATTTCTAGAGAAATAATACTTTTTAAAAAAATCAACCTGTTTCCCCTGCACCGCCACGATTGGTCCGATAAAATCGCCGAGCCGATCGCGTCAAAAGGAAATAGCCTCAGCTTAATTGTAAGCTAAAGTCTCCCGTAATCCAGGGGAGCATTTGAGATTCTGCCCAAGCGCTGGGTTTCGGCGGCCGCTGAGGGCTGTGGGTTTCTCTCCCAGCCTCCCGGCTGCTGCAGCACAAGTCAGCATAGCTAATGCAGATAGAGCTCTCCCCCCGCTCCCTCTTCCCCGCTCCCGTCTCTCGCTCACTCTCCCTCTCCCTCTGCTTTGATTCGATATGAACAGACTGGTAACTCCGATGCGAGAGCGAAAGCTGACATAACTCTGCAGATGGCTACGTTCGGATGATACACCTAGGGATTTTTCTTTAAGGGAAGGTAATGTTTAGATGCTAATGTTTATTTTTCCCTTGTTGCCATTTTTCAGGACTGCCGGTCCCAAAGAAGAGCCCAAAGTCGGTAAGCACTTTTCATCTACTATTTTTGTCTGTTTGTCTGCTTTGAAGGAGAAAGGCATGAGTTCGGCTTGTTTTCTTTGTGGGTCTTGATTGTTTTAAGTTGTCTTTCTGTTGCAATCATGATTACCTTGCACAGATCCTACTGCATGGGGAGATGAAAGAGGAATGCAGTACGGAAGGGGGACTTGTTTGCAAATAAAGCCTCAGGTTTACAGATCCTCTTCCCTGACAGATGAGCTTCTCTGTCGTTTAACTTTCCAAAAAAAAAAAAAAAAAAAAAAAGCGCTATTGTTTCCTTTTGGAAAGATGGGAGGCTCCACCTTCTTGCCAGATAGCAATTCCTGTCGGGTGCTCATAGGCACCAACCTTTTCCATTAACTCCTGGAGTTTTCTCGAGTACCCTCAGCTGAATTATTAACGGAATGGGAAAGCATGCACCTGGTTGAGAGAGACAAAGCATGAACGGAGCACGATTACAATTCCCAGGGAGTAGAGTTAGCTGTCCGAGTGCTTGCTCTGGATGCGTTTTCGTACTGAGCAGGATTGTGCTGCAGGTGTGAGATTCCTTATTTTTAAAAAAAAGCCCAAACAGAACAGTATTTTCTTGTCCCTTCTGATTCTGTTTCCATGTAAAGCTGTTACCTGGATGACATGTTCACTAATAGCCTGGAAGCCATGATCTAAAGTATCATTAAAGCTCCATGCATAATATTGTGGAAGGAATTAATGGGCTATTTGTATGCAACAAAAAGCAACATTTTATTTTTAAAGGAAATTGAATACTTAAAGCCTGAGAGTTTCCATTTATCTGTTGAGAGGGAGGGGAAACAAGAGAATTCTCTCCCAGTGGCTTTGGGGAAGCAGAGCGAGTGAGGTCTTTGCCATGTTGTAAGACGGTGTGAAACTTCACCGACAGTCCCCCATGGGTGCCAAAAACTGCAGCTGGGCGCAGCCCACCTCGCTGCAAACCTGGGCAAGAGGTTTATGAAAGGGCTGAGCAGAAGGCTCCTGCTTTTAATACGAGTTCTCTGTTCATCCAAAAAGAAAGCCCTGAAATAATTAATGTGATTCTGATGGCTTAGGGCAGCGCTGATTAAAGTCATGTGAGCCCAGGCCTCTACCGTTGTCAGCTCGCATTAATGTTGAGAGGCAGAAGTGCGGGGTGTGCTCCCTTGCAAATCACAGGCATGTCAGACCCTGCGCACTCGCTTCTGTCATACGCGGAGATTATTTCAGCCTTCGGTAAAACAGAAGCGAGTGTGTAAAATACATACGCGTTTCTTTTCTCTGCCTGCACTTTTTTCCCCGGTTGGAGCAGGAGTGGTTGCACTCGACCCGGACTCCGACCTCTATCATTAAACCAGCCACAATGAATGAATCTCAGTCTTTTCAAAGCGTGGAGGCTCCCACTTTGCCACACACAGATTCGGCATCAGGTGAAGCGGGATCCTGCCGTGTCAGACACCTCTCTGGTCGGCAGTGATGCACTGTGAAAATTTGAGCAGGATCTAAATCCATGTCAGGATAATCCTGCCTTGGTGAACAGAGACTGCTTGCAAACAGGTGTAGCTCTGCAACAGCGGATTACTCCCTACTATTTGCTCTGAGGAGCCAGTCAGCCTTGGGAAAGCAGTCCCATTCCCTCCCGTGCCTCTCCTGAACCCCTCTCGCCTTGCTCTAGGGTCCCTCCAGTAATTTTTAGTACTGCCCTCAGCAGTACTGTTGCCTCTAAATCACAGGATTCACAAAAAGCAGAGCCTCCTATTCCTCCTGCCTGCACACCGGATCATTTGCATCGGCAATTAGCAGTGGTGTTTTAACTGCCGCATTGTGCGGCAGCTTTAATGACCGACCACTCCTCGGAGGGGCAGAGCAGAGGCTGTCCGAGTCGGTACAGCCGCTTCTGCATTCCCAGGCATCGGTGACATGGATGGGTTGAGCACAGAAACCTGGAGTAAACTGCCTCAGGACACCCATATAGGGAGGAGGAAGCTGTCCTTGGGGCTGTCTGGAATGGATTTACACCAACACCAGAGCTCGTGTGGCCAAGGCGATACTCAAAAGCATAAGAACAGTGGTATTGCTAAACACCTTCGCTCCTCAGTTTAGTTGAAGGGCTGCTGCTGAGCTGTGGGGCGAGGGGAGCCCAGCCCTCTTGGTCATGGAGATTCCCACTTGTTCTTGTCCTGGCAGGGGAGAGCCAGGCCTGCCTCGCTGGCACACTGCCTGGCTGGGATGTCATGTTGCTGCACCCTGCCCTGGCATTTCCCCCGGCATGGTTTGCTGTGCCCACAGCTGTTGGGTGAACATGGGTGCTGCCGGCTGAGCTGTGCGCCCGCGGGCTGTCTCCAGCTCTGTGCGGCTGGGTACGGGGCTTGGGTTGAACGAGCTGCCTGTTTCCCCCGCTCCTTTGCCCAACACGAGAGGACTGCTTTCCAGCATTCCTTGGTTAATAAGTTAGCTGCAGTTAGAGGACAGCGTACATCCAGCCCGGGAGCAGTTGGCCCAGTCTTAACTTGTGCTCATTCTTTGTTTCTTCTGCTGCATCAGGGAAGACACAAACTCAGGTGTCCATCCTCTTCTGCTTCGCTCAGCGCAGTGACGAGCCCTCTCCTGTTACCTCCTATCCTTTCCCAAAGCCCAGACACACTCCCGAATTACTGCCAACAGCTGTCTTTCTCAAACAAGCCCTATTTTTAACTATCAGCCCCAATCCGGTATTCCCAAAAGACTGACTTCAGGCTGTTGGATACTTCCCAGCTGGGAGGAGGTGTTTTAGCCCCTTAGAGAGGTTTGTTAGTGCTGGGGCTGTGACACAATCTGGGAATATTTTTCTGCCTTGAGCTCAGTTTTCCTGGACTGTATTTTTCAGCCTGCGTGTATCTTCTGATGAGCTTTGCTCTTTTTCTCAGTTTTTAAGGGGAGTTTTTCAACTTTGGTGAAAGAGCCAAATTAATTAAAAAGTTTGCAGTCATACATGGGACTGGGGACTTCCAAGTTCTTTCTTCCCCCTTTCCCCCCACCAAGGACATGCTCGCAGCAGCGATCTGTGCTGCTTGTTTGTAATCAGTTTCCCATTGATTCTTTTTTAGATGAAAACAGATAATATTTTTGTATTGACTGTCTGGGGATATATATGTTCAGTGTGCAAGTTCTCTAGTATAGCAATTTCCCCTGCAATTATGCTGGTATAACATGGATGAAAACAAACTTTTTTTTTTTCTTTTTTCCTTTTTTTTTCCCCCTTGTGGCTTGTATCAGAATACTCCACAAGGGGGCAAAGATTCTCATTTCCAGCTCACTTTGCTGTTGCTGCCAGGACTGGCTTCTCCAAAATGCTCTAGAGCACAAAATCTGCGGCTAGACCATCAGAAGACGGGATCACTGCGGGGGGAAGAAGGTGCTAAGCTCTTCCAAAAATCTTAATTTTTTTCTTTTGGGTGAAAATAAATACATTGTCAGTATAGCTGAATTGTGGCCAAAAAATGCAAGTCCTATGTGCACAGCCTGTCACTGACAAGAGACTTGCTGCTTATTTCGGGTGGATGAGCAGCACTTGGGGCTCCGCCGATGTCCTGTTTTTGTCAGGAGGAGAAATTGGTTCCACAGCATAAGTGTTTGTACAACACAGCCCGCTTCATTCAGAGACCATTTTTTCCCCCCACCTTGAAATGCAGTGGGAGGAAACCACAGCAACTCTTCGCCCCTTGCAGTTTTATGCCTGGAGAATCCCATGCCAAAAAGCTTTGGTGTCCGTTTGTGCCGCAGGACATGCTCCCTGCCACCATTGCCTCTTCTGCTGCGGGTTTCTCTCTGCCTGACACAGACATACACAACTGCTGCTAATAATTAGTGTCCCATCTCTGCCTGCAGCCACCTCTCAGCCGTGTCATGGGCCTGGGTTGTTTTAGCAGTCACTGTACAAAGTAACATCTAATTACTGTTTCATTTAGCGTGTATGGCAAACTGGTCTCTGCTATGTGAGTATCTGTAGCATCTTCCAGTCACTTGGAGACTTTTATAAGCAGTTTTCCTCCTGTCTTCTTTTGAAACACAACAACTTCAAGCTCCCTGGCTCACATTGCCTTTGCTATTTTCTTCCCTCCCCGTAATAAGAGGACAGTGTAGTGCTCGGCATGGGTTCACTCAACCTCTCTGCTGAGGAAGAAGCTGCCTTTCGGGTCGGCAAATGCAGTACCTATGGCTGAAAGTGGAATTGCACAGTGCGGGGAAGAAATCCTGGAAGGCTGATGTATGCCCAAACCCTGATCACTGCTGCCCTCTCTTCTGCAGCAATTGCCCCCACAGCTGCACTTGGAAATCTGAGCCACACTGAAGTTCCTGTTAGCCTCAGCCAGCAGAAAAAAAAAACCTTCCCAATACTACATTTTCTTCATCTTATGTTTTGCAGGATGAGCACTGCAAAGTTTCGAAAAACCTTCTTCCCAATACTACATTTTCTTCGTCTTCTGTTTTGCAGGATGAGCACTGCAAAGTTTCAGTGTAGCAAGCTGGCGCAGGCCATGCATCTCAGACCTGGGGCTTGGGTAGGGCACAAGAAGCTCCAGCTTTCCACATATTTATTTTGTCGTGGCTAAAATACAGTACCAAGATGATTGATTTTTCCCATCCCATTTAAGTGTGCAGCCTGCCTAAATAGACTCAAGGTAGTCATCATAGTCTTAATTTCTAGCCACTCTTGGTCAAGAGTCTTTCTAGCAAGCTATTTATGCTTATCAACAGCTCTGGAGAAGGCCATAGACTCTGGGAGGGTCAGGGCTTCTCTTGCTGACTTGGGTGGTTCCATGCCCCATGCTCTTGTAGCTACTGTCAGAAGTCAACATGATTGAGCTGATCTGCTTTACTTTGCACTGAAAAACATGATCAGCATCACAGGGTGAGGTGCGAACCGCCCGCTCTGTGGCGTTCTGTCACCAAGCAGCCCCATACTCATCTGGCCCTGATTTTACAGCTTTCCTGCCCATGTGTGAGCTGGGTGAGCCAGACAGTCAGATCTGGACCCAGGAGGATCGGCCCCAAAGCTGGGAATGAAGCAGGAGGTGGAGAGCCATCCTTTCATTGACATATGACCAGATCATCTCTCTTGGGAAAGCTCCACCTTTGCACCAAGGCACAAACTTCTTCATCTGGGCAGTCCCCATTGCAGGAAT